GGGTTGCTTTTTAACACCACGATGTAGCAATTTACATAAAATCGTGAGACACGAGTAAACATGCTCCTCCAAACAGATGGAACATTTTCGTTACAAATTCACGACACGTTTTACAATTTATACCGTTAACTACAAACATCTACGAGAAGCTTTGCACAATCGCCATTAATTGTGAGGGACGTCGATCGCCGGCCACTTGAAGAAAAGCGGCTGATTTTAATTTCAAATGAAGGTAAACGTCACGCGTTCCACTGTATCATCGTTTTCGATTGCCAAAAACTCCATTGTTAGTTCGCTTCCAACGAGCTACCTACTGTTCGATCTGCTGAATCATCCCATCCCAAGAAACTAATTACTATCACATATTTAACCGATTATTATTGTTTCTTTTCTTCGCGTGTGAGAAAAAAAAAATCACGAGAGAGCTCAATAATAATACTACATTCCATCGAATGCACAGCTTCGCTTAAAATGTTTCACTGCTCGATATAATCAGAAAAATACGCTCGATTACACGCTTCGATACAATTCTGCAACGCTTTGACTTTTTTCTGCTCGAAAAAAGCGTGAATTTATTCGAATTTGTTGGAGCAACCTTTGTGATTTTCACTGTTTGGGAAAAAATGGTGTAAAAAGTATATTGGCCATGAGTATGTTACAACGAGAAACATTTTTAGCGAAGAGGTGTGTATTTGTGACAATAAGTACGTGAAATCAAATTAATATCACTGACAGCTATATTGGCTCGGTTGTTAAAGTGTTAAGTTTCCACCCGTACAACCGCAGTTCGATTTTCTTCGTTTACTTTCCTTTAATTCGTTGTTATTTTTCTTCTAAATTTTCTAATTAAGAAATTCATCCAATATCTCCGGTTACCTGTATATCAAATAATTTTGAAGGATAGAAAGAAATATCGAAGTATTCCAATTGTTTAACGACGAAATAAATTCAAGCGGTGGAATTTCTCAGTGACTTCAACGCGTGTATGAGAAACGAATGAACCGTATACGGTCGAATAAAAAGTAATTGGGGGAGGGGTTTGTGGTTGCACAGTTGCAAAAAGTGTTGCAACTTTATTGACACAGAATTGCATATATCAACAGAAAAAAAAAAACAGTGGTATATTATAATTATAATGTAATTAGATTTCAAAAAACCCTAACCGCTTTAACAATTCATAATTTAATGAAAAAGTGGATTTATTGGAATGGTTACATTTCAGTAATTTAATAACTGCATAAGAAACACGGGATCTGTTTGCATTACTAGAAAAAGGAACAGAAACGGGGTGGGTGTGCATAGTTATAAAAAGTTACATGTCCACTTGCGAAGGGTTGTGCACTCGGTAAAAAGGAAAGAGCAAGTGTATTCCTTTCCCAAGCAAAAAGCCACATGTGTTTCTACATGTGGAAGTTGTTTATTGTTCTCTCAGGGAAGCGACAGCGTGCACTATCTTGAGAATATAGTGAATCAACTGCCATAAAATAGCTGCGTGCAAGCATTTTAATGGTCGGTAAGGCCACTATCTCGGGGATCATGCGCGCCGTTTAGCATGCATCAACTTGTATAACGCATATAGTGCGTCCTACGTGATAGTAGAAGACTTCTCCCGTGCCTATCTACAACAGACCGAAACGGTAAATGAAATCATTAGGGTACATTGACCCTTATGCTCGTATCAAGACGAATTATCTGGAAGATGCACGTACACCTTATGAAACATTATCAGAATTTTCCTGCACAACGCATCCCTATCGCGCAATTGCCGATTTACTGTTAAAAAGATTCGGCCCAAGAACGAGTAGGTACCGCGAGAGATTCTTGTCAATAGAAAGAGGTTCTCGGATATCCAAGTTAAAATTGACGTTGACTAGCATGTTTCACAGTATGTATACACCAGTGGAAGTTTCATTACCGTGATTACGTATTCAAGCGATTCAATAAGAAGAATAATTAAGAAATGAAAAAAAATCAAATGCCAGTCATAGATTACCGTTATAACAATCAAAGTGTCATACGATAATTCATTATATTCCAAACATCAAATCACACCGTTCCTCTCGCTGTTCATTGCGAAACGGAAACGGCTTGTCGTGCGGGCAGCTGCATTAGATTCCGATCTAACTGCCACTAATCCAGCCGCGTTTCCATAACGATAATTCATTATATTCCAAACATCAAATCACACCGTTCCTCTCGCTGTTCATTGCGAAACGGAAATGGCTTGTCGTGCGTGCAGCTGCATTAGATTCCGATCTAACTGCCACTAATCCAGCCGCGTTTCCATTCTGTTCGTCAATTATTTTCTAACGTGAAACACGTTCCTTCGGGTTTTGGCGTGGCTTGCCTGGATATGGCTCGCGTCAGGAAGCGTGACATTGAATGGTGCCCATAGCGGCTTCGAGGGAACTCTAAAACGGTGTAAAACGAAATGTTTAATTATTTAAGGTCTGTCATATACGTAACGCGTGGCTCGTAACAGGGCGTGTAATACGGCGATCGTGCAGCTGACGAAGATGGTAATGGAGGGAAACATACACCCCGTAAATAGTACTCATTATCGACTGGTAAAACGTGAAATCCGAAATCAGCGATATACCTACAACAACATTTGTTGTCAAGAATGCTCTGGTACATAGACACGCTAAAAAAAAAAAGGTGTACAGAAAAAGAAAAACGATCCAGTTGGTACGCATGCGCAGAACCTTTCACAGAGTGAGAGTGAGAGAGAGAAAGAGAGAGAAAGAAAGATAGATTTGCAAGATGTAATTTTTAAGCCGCGTTCCCCGGCGTTTACCCGTATGCAATTGAACTGAAAACGATTACCAGAAAATTGTAGGGGAAAACGTTACAAAGATGTGGGATAGAGGATGGTGATTATGCAACGCAGTATAGCAACATTATGGTAGTTCGATGAAATACGAGCACAGTGCGGAAAAAATAGAAACGAAACCTTTTCCTCATAGCATCACGGAGAACGTGGGAAACCTAACCTAATCTATCATCCACGTTATTTTATTCACTTAATACATATGTAAAAACTTAAAGATGATATTAATACGAAATGATATGATATCGCGTAACCTTTCATTCCGTCATGATTTTGTATATCTTTATCTACGTGTGTTAAATCGTTAGCTGTTAGAAGAGCATATAATTATTTTAATGTTCAACTATTACGGATACATCAACGTGACCCGTCTCCTATGTACATACGTATAACTAGTCTCGTTCTCCCTATCGATCGAGATTCGATCGCTCGAATTGTTCTTGCTAACTTCGCGACACTACGCAACGCCTATTTTGTTTTGATTGATAAAGTGAACGATTCTTCGCGATAGATAAATTTCACGATTCACGGTTATTTAGCCAGGTGTAAACATTAAATTATTAATAATTCCTGACTGCTCGGTGAAGTGCGTGAATAGAGGTGGAATTGCGTTCAGAACAAGACTATAATTAATGCGTGTCTTCACAATAACACTCTCTTGGCGTTACTTTCCTGTTTCCTGGCATCCTGATTGACCGCAATTTTCCAGCGGATCCTCTCCATTTCACGTAACATCTGTTATTACGTTCTACATGTTTTGTTAAGCCGATTAATAGGTAATTCCGTACCCTATCATTTCCGTGCGACTATTAACCATAATTTACCGAGTGCAACTCTCGTCTTTTCACGTTTAAAACGTTCTACAGATTGAAAAGTATAATTCGTAATTTTGTTTTTAAAGTAGGCAGAACTTTAGGAACGAATGGTGGTTAATTGTTCGCAGTTGTCCATCAATCACGTGATAACTAGTTTAGGTTAGGTTAGCCTATTTTTGACAGTGAAGTGTGAGTCCATTGTAGAATATGAAACAAGGACAAATAAGACTCATAAAATAAAAAAGAAAGATGTTTTATACAAAAATCTTAAAATTGCATTTATATTTATATTTTTGGTGTCAAATTTTTTCTCATTTCCCTCGATCTCCGCTGTAATATAAACTACAATGGAAATATTGTAAACGATCGTAAAAGAGGGCTGCAAGAGAAATACACCAGACAAAGGGAACTTTCTAAGTGGTACATCAGAAAGAAGAAATTAATTTGAATTTCACTTTCACTATTTAACTTCCATTTCGAGCGGTTCTACTTGTCCCCCGTCGTTTATTGCCATCGTATACTCGTGGATGCCCGATGATTAATGACGACCATGATTCATTAATATCTTTAAACAGAAATTAACTTACTCTACGGTTGAGTTGGTCCATTAAATACATTGTAAATACTCGATTACATCGCCGCGTATTCGGAATGTTATATACTTTAGCGGTTTGACGCACGGACAACAGGAAGTCATATTTCCTTGGATTGCATTAAAGATGATATTACGTATACATGTTCCTCATTTCTCTCTCTCTCTCTCTCTCTCTCTCTCTCTCTCTCTCTTTCTCTCGATTCGAGTATGCACGCGATTGAGGATGATTGATGTTCCATATTACGGGGGAACGTTCGTTTCCTTATTTTTAGCTGATCAGGACTGTGACTCGCTGGTGCGTTATTTTTAAACGTAAAATTCTATAAAAAGTGTAGCCTGAATAAATTTCCCATTACTTCTTTCAAATTTCATGTACAGTTTAAAAAGATCTTGGCAATGTTAGTCTATACAAAAGACCTTCGCCAAATCTTACACGTACATTTCCAATGTAAATTATCATAATTAACTCTGACATGGCACACTATTTTTTTTTTTCACCTATCTAATGTTACACTGGGATCCTTCGGATTCGACGTGAACGTTGCACGTTTGAAACGAATAAAAAATTTTGCACAAATTCACTGAAATACCTTCAGGTATAAAATTAGAATTTTTAAAAAGAGTTAACGAAATTCGATATTTGCAATTATTTGGCGATATGGTAACGAAGTTCGGTATAAAATCCAAGGTAAAGTTAAACTGTAAAAACAGCATTCGTTGTATCGTGAAATTTGTGAGAATTACGAATAAAAACACTCACCTGTAGATAAGGGCTGGCAGCAGAGAGGACCAAACGATGAGCCAGGAATCTTTGTCCACCAGGACAACAGAGAGCCACATCAGCGAATCTTTGGGACAGCATCGCCTCCTTGAGGAACTCCCCGACATCCGGTGTCCTCCCAGAAACGCGGATCACCTCTCCCATCATGCTCCAACTTGATTACGATAACTCACTTTATCTTCAGTACTCTTCGGTTTATTCAACAAACAGTCTGAAGAATCATCACGTATTCCAAATTTCTCTTCGCGATACTCTAAGAAGGTTTTCAATTGGTCCATCAGTGATGACTCGATTTTACTCTTTTTCTACTTCACGTTGCACCGAAACACACTGATCTCCTTAATAACGCGTGCGTCCACATGATGAAATGATCCGTGTCAGTCTATCAGAGTCTCTCTTAGTGGTCTTGTTATAAATAGAAATCAATTATCTGAGAAACAATTCCAACATTGATGTCCAACGTAGCCGGCGCTACAAGAGAAAGGCAAGCGGTCAGATAAGGGTTTCTTAGTTGGAAAGCTTCCGAGTAGAGCTTCCCGTACTAACAATAAGACACGATGATTATTTGGCAGCGTTTGACAAATTAATCATTGTTTGGTACTTCGTTGAATTAATCACTTTTCCTGTGGCAAAAAGGAATATTCTTTTTGTAAGGACTTTCTAAGCAGGTAATTTCTCTTTTCTTCCTGGTGATTCGATAGAATCACTTCAATCTTTCCCATTGCACTTCGGTCGATACAGATTTCATCAATTCTCTTTCAGAAATAGACGATTAAAGTTCAAAGCGTGTTTCATTTAGTTCTAATACAAGTTACACTTTCAAATCTATATTTTCCTATGAAACTTCCATCGATATATTTTTCTATATTTATGTTTAAGCTTGAATATCAAGTATATACACCGTAGGAATGAAAATAACTTTATTAATTTGAATGTTTCTATTTTCGAAATGTGTTGTATACGCGATAAATACGAAAAGATGGGGTTATTTGTTTACAATCGTGCTAGCCAGTTTGAGAAGAAGAAATTGTCCTGTGATTTCAGAGACGAATGGCATCGTTTCATATTGTAATAAGACAAGAAACTGGTGAACGCCTTTATTACCGTTCTGTCGAGCTAGCGGTTTGCGTGGATCGTGGCTGGTGCCATTGTACTGTGAAATTACTTTGTGGCCAAGCAATTGATACCCTATAAGATAACACCCTGAGCGAAACGAGCAACACGTAGAACGCCCTGTCATACGCGTTGTTGAGCAAAGTTATTCGCGCCGCCTGCGATTTTAATAGCCTACGAAACCACTTTGCATTCCCTTATCAATTTACAAATAGAAGCATATTGTAATCGCGTTAAGAGATCGTAACACTGAGACAAATGCGCTATTTACGTTGTTTGTATAGCACCCTGTGTTTTAAGGACAAGTTCATCTGTTACTGGATACCTTCTGTAATATAAAAACTAGTCGTTGATTCTTTCTACAAAGAAATTAGAATTCTTGAGAGTATAAAGAGTATGCATTTTTTGTGAAAGAAGTTGAAATTTAGGAAAAGAAATAATGAAATGTGAAATATCATTGTAATAAATAAATAAAATAATGGTTAATCAAACGGCAAATGTAAGAAAATAAATACAGAAATAAGAAAAGAAAAATACTAAAGAGTGTAGAGATAAAAATACCATTACCATGAAACTATCATTGTTATCATAGAAAAATGCATGTAACTTAATCGTTAATCTAGAAAGTACTTCAACGTGTTGCAGATGGAACATTCAGTCCGTACTCGGATCAAACGAGTGACAAAAAGAAGCATTATTACAACCTCGGCTTCAATTCCCCCTTTACAATTGCACAAATTTTACGTTCTCCGAGACGAACCAAGCCATTAATCTTCGAATCCGCTGAAACGGTAATCTCATAACCTCCATCTTGCCCGTCTTCGCGATTAATTCTTTCCTAATATTGGAAATTTATGTACGCGATCTGCGCAAGAAAGGATACGTTTATTTGTGAAATCGGTAAGTGGATCGTTCGATAATATATTACATTGGCGAAAACGAATTGAAAAATAGACGAATATTTCGCAGATCTATCGGCAATGGAATCAAGATCGGAACAGTTCTAGAACAGATTTATCGACGCCTTGCGCTTCCTGCACTTGTCCGCTTGCCATCCTGCAATGATTTAGAAGAACCGCTCAGGTAGCCTTGATATTTTTGCTTAATTATTATCACGATAACAGCATGGCGTGTGTACCGGTACCTTTCGAAAGCGGAACTAATGCTTTCGTGTTTGTTTAATCCTCGGAATTGAAACAATGTCCCGGAGCACTGTACAGAACATACATTAGAAAGCAAATATTGCTGTAATTTCATCTATTTGGTAATGTTGATGTGCATGAAAAAAAAATAGTAGCTCGTGTTCCTAATTGAAAAATTTTGCAAATCTATGAATCGACTAAAACACCGCGAAACGTTATATTCAACGGATTCTGTACCAGTGTAATAGTCGATCGTTTAGAGTATTCGAGAATTAATCGATCGAAAAATGTTGAAAATCGACGATCGATAAAGCATAATGACGCTAATGGTCGGCAATGATATTGAACATGTTGAAAAATGAATGGCAACTCCTCTAAACGGAATAACGTTTCGTCCGTTAGACACGGCAAGATGATTTTGTGAGTCACGATTTTCTGTGGATACGTACGTCGATAATCGCTTTTTCATCGATACAGGCATAAGTTAGGATAAATGTTGAGCAGTTTGAAAAAGCATAGATTAGGCAGTCTAATATCACTATATCCTGGCATACTTCTAATTTTGCCCCGAGTGTACCGTTTTTAATTTCCATATCCTTTAAAATATTACCCTGTTTCCCTGGTGAATTGATCGTGACCCCACTAAACCGTATTCTAATGGCTATAATTAAACGATTCAGTTGCCTGGATACGGGCATTGCGATAGGTAATACAAAAATGTCGAATTACCAATCGATACCTCGTCGTCCTTCGATGGGTGTTCACGATACACGCGTTTATCCTGGCATAATTGTAAAAATAAATTGAGTTTTACGACGGGCTCGCGCGTCCGCGAAATACTCAATTAACTTGTAAATTTCGCGCGAGTTTTTTGCCCACGGTTTAATGGCTTTTTTTGAAATTTTGCACAATTCCCCCATGATTACGTAACATTATCGTTACACACTGAAATATACTTGTCGATATACGATTTCGCGCACTTCACCGCGTTTTCACGCAACACTACACATCATTCAATTATATACCATCTTTACGAGCCACTTTGTCAAACAGTATGTACATTGCAACGTTGCCACTAATTGAGGAATTCGAACAATGTAAATTTATCTTAGTTGATTTATCGTTCGATAATCGAAAGATGTTCCTACGAGGTGTTGCTAAAAATTAGCAACCTAACCAACACCGGTTACAAGAATACGAATCACCTTATTAGGTTCAGGTATGAACAGGTTTCCGATTGAATGTTCCATTCTTTAATGTGCGACACATCACTCTTCCCCGGAACGTTCACTTTCTTTCGCCCCGATGCGAACGTCATAATTCGTGCCTCGTATAACCTCTTTACGTCAAAATTTCGACCTCTGTCGATAATCGCGATCGGTCAATTCTCGAATAGATAACAACAATAATTCTAATGGTTGCTCGGTCGATCATTTTCATTATTTCACGGTACCCCTTTGTGAATTGTTGAAAGATTAAACAGTACGAAATTTCAAGGAAGTACCAGATTAAAGCGTCAATCAATCATTTCGCTGCTAAATAATCATCTACTTTAGAAAAAGAGAGGAAATCATCGATGACGGGTGAACTAACCGTGAAAAACGCGTATGTCTTGGCCGAGTCGGTACCGTACGCGCGAAAACGACCGTAAAAATCCGGCATGGTAAGGTTATCTGTGCAGAGTGAAACGAGAACTCAACTGAGAACTCGCGGGATTCTGTGGATCGCAGAGTGTTTAACGAGATACCCGTCGCTGAACAACTCAGCGGGGCGACTGCCACCTGAAATCCTCAGGTGAGCAGAGACCACCTCTGCTCCTTGCAGTCTCTCAACGGAGAGAGAACTCGATGGAACTCCTCCCATGTTGGTGCTCTACTCCCTCCTTGGAGTTACGTTTCCCATCGGAGCACACGATTCACCGACTACCACGCGGACGCTCGGATTGACGATTAGGAGGGATAAGACGCTGCTGTTATTGTCACGACTCTACTCTCGTTGTATTTTTTCATAAACACCATTTCTTGATATTGAATTTTACTATTTTGAGTATTATGATTTCAATGTGAAAAAATTTAATCGTTATACTTCATTTTGTTTAATAAGAGATGAATAATGGAGGGAAACATGTTCTACTGTATCATAGGTGATTAAGTGCGAATCATGCGCTGCCATGTTTACCGACTCCACTATTTATGGGATGATCTGACATCTTGTCTCCAAATTCATGGTGAGGTTATGGGTGATTTACAAAATTGCAACAGATGTCGCCCTTTCGAGTGCTTCATAAAGCAATATAGTTCGGGCAAAATCATTGCAGCTATGACGTTTTTAACGGTAACCTTATCCTCAGATAACTAAACATAATTTCGTGGTGGTTTACTCGGAAAAGCAAGTAGAAATCAGTTCCATTGATGTTTCGCGTAAGACTGAATCAATTATTTTTTACGAAAAAATTACCGTTGGGCTCCTTGGATTTTCAACGAATCGTTAAACGGTTTACCATAAACTTAACGGATCAATTAGTTTTACAATTCGCACCTCGTAAAACGAAAGAGACTCGCTCGGGGAGGACGGATTTAGAGTGAAAGCGACAACGTCATACTTTGCTAGTTTGTTTTAGTAAATACCTTATCAGGGTCGTGATAATTAAGCGAATAGAACGGTATCCGCTTCCGTTTGTATACCGCCATTGGCAAAAAATGATCGTCCTATCTATAACCTATCATTATCACGCATTTTTTTCGTTCAAGAGAATTTAATTTAACCGTCAACGATTATTTAGCCAATCTACCTTAAAAAATATGTAGTTTTTGTGAAAACAAAGTATGATATCCGTGACGAAATAATAAATTAACATTTAATTAACGAAATACTCCGTATATTGCGAAAAATCGTACCAGAACGTTTTAATTATGTCGATAGGGAAATAAATAACGCTCCACTTTATAAAAGTTGATAATTTCTATGCAAACCCTGTGTAAGGTTTGTGGGACATGCTCTCGCCTCCTCGGCAGGCACCTTTTAATGCTAAATCCATTAGCACCGGGCGAGAACGTTTTCCAGGTTGATTATCGGGTAAACACAATGTTGTGTCGGTTCCCGTTTTACCCACATATTAGCCTGACACGTTTGATTATTCGCGTCGAATTGTCGAGATTCTAATTCACCAACGTCCCCTTATATACTGTTATACAGATCGAAATCCGTGACATTCAGATTACACGCGGCACGTGACAGGATGCTATGACATGAACTATAATTTACCGATCACTATTCCCGCGTAGAAAATGTAGTGCTGAAACTTATCTCGATTGTAGAATTTCGATACGTCGTATCACTTCGACAAAATTTATTTCGATCTTACTTTCGATACTTTATTTTTCGATAAAATTCATCTGAATTACCTCGACGTTCATTTGTTTCAATTTATATTCTTTTTTCCAACGGTTCGTCTTCTCACCGCGTTTCGTTTCGTGTTATCGTTTCTGATTATTCGTTAGAGGATTGAAGAGTTTGGAATATTTCACTTCGAAAATCGAGTTTTTCATCTTGCAATCATGAATACTGCTATGGAAGTAAAGGTAAAGGCATGGTCACCATCGGTTATGTGCAAAAGTCCGGACAATATTGTTTCCTCGCCATTCACGTCGCAGAAGGTGTTCATTCCATCTTACGAGAAGTATGTTATCAAATGAAAATTCTGTTCGATTTAACGTGATTAATTGAAAAACATTTACTGAAAATTTTAGAGAGAAACGTCCTTGCATAGAACAGTTATTGACGAATGAGTATCAACGGATTTGGTGGCAGGAGAAGGAATCATGGGACAAAAGATACCAAGGCAAGACAGCTACCAAGAAGCTGTTGCACCGTATGGTAAAAGGATGGCACGCTGATGTTAGATCCTTTTTTATCGAATTATACAACTATGTAAAAATGCACTTTATTTTTTATCAAAGATAATTAAAAGAAAACCAGTAACGACACCTGTTGTCGCTAAACCCAAGAAAATAAAAAAACCAAAGAAAAAGAAGGAAGTAAAAAAAGAAGAAGTCAAAGAACCAAAAGACACCGAGAAAGAGGATAAAAAGGAAGAAAAAAAAGCTCCCCAACAAGAGGAAACAAAAGCGGAAAAGACGAAAGAGACTAAAGTCGAAGAAACGTCATAAATTTCATCCAAAATTACCCACCGATCGTAATTTGAATTCAAATAGACTGCTGATTCTATAATTATGCAGAATTTTAAGGTTCATAATTTAAGATCAATGTCTACGTTGATTTTATAGCTCGAAACTTAAAGGTTACGAGTTATGCTACCTAACCTAACGCATGCCTGACTAAGTACCGAACCTTGCTTTTTTCTTCACTTCAACTTCCGTCTTCGAAATACTTTTTTTTTAATGTTTCGAACAATTAAAAATGTGGGGAGAAAAAATAAAATGTTCTGCTTCAATCACTCTTAATTAAATTGTGTTTCTTTGTACGAACTAATATGGAAACATTTGTAATTAACAGACAGGCGACGCATAAAAATAGATGGCGCTTTTTTCACCGGAAATCCACGCAAGAAGCGTTCACTCGAATACACAAAAGAAATAATTTTGCCTCTGTACGTCTGTAAACCGCGTTTACGGAAATGAACGTGCTTCGCCAGGATGTTTTATCAAATAATTGATGCCTTAGAGTTGTTTGCACACGTAAGCACAATCATAACCGCGGGTAAAAGTGGACGCGAAAGAATAACGTTTGTTACAGCGCCGTCCGTACGCTACTGGATACCCTATCGAATGTTTATGTAATTTTGATGATTTTTTTCGTCATTTATACAAGCTTTCTAATACTATTACTTACCAGTCTGTTCTAGTATGATAAGATTACGTGAGGCGGACACTACACACGTTTGCAGTTTGTTGCAAGACGAAAGTGGAAAATGCTGATGCAACCAGCAACCATAGTTGAGTTTGATTTCCAGCATGTGGTATAGAATTTTTTCAGAGGAAAAAGAATGTTGTCGCCTGTATCAAGCTTTTCCGCAACAATTGTAAATTTGTCATATTTTCTAACTAAATTGGCAAATCCTACGGTTTTTCCTAGTGTACTGTGTCAAAATATGTGGATTCTGCATTAGTCTAAATTCCTTTATCTATAAGAGATGATAGTAACTTGTATTCAAAATTTTTATATGGTCTTTTTCTTCCAAAAGTGTATACATAACTATTCTTTTTCTTTATTTTTTCTTCAAATCTTTAGTTAAACGATGTTTTTGAAAGAAAGGACCAGAACTCGTTCAAGGCAAACTACATGCCTCTATATATCTATCAATTAACTACCCGATATTTCATCTACAAAACAAGATGAAACAATCAACGTTATTGCATCATAATCGATTCAGTCGTAAAATGATATTTTCTATTTCGAAAAATAGTGCAAAAAATATGCTTTAATGATAGGGAGTAAAAACGTCCAATAAAATAGAAATACAATTGCCAATGTTAAGAGCAGAGATTCAATATGGAATCGTTTATAAAAAGAGAAAATAACGGAACATTTATATATTGAGACATTCTACTTTTACTTTTATATCTGCATCAAAGATACAAAAAATTTTGGTACATTACACTAACAAGAAATTTAAAAAAAAGATAAATTTTTACAATTTTTATAATGCACAAAATCCATTTAAGCCATGAATAAAAAGATGTCTGCATTTTCAGATAAATCAGAACACGATTAAAATGCAGAATACTGTTGGCATAGATTTTATTCACGCAAAAAAAAATGGTGTACATAAAAGCGGCACAACGAAATCCAATCGCGAGGCCATTAATACAGTGGATTAAGAGATAAAACGGATCGCAGTTTACAACTCTGCTTAAATGTTTCGAATCTATCTTTAGTCATGTTCCGGCATGAAGGGGAGAAAAAAACAGTACAACTACGTACAACTTCATTCGATATCCTTCGGATATAATGTTACATTCGTGTTAGGCCATATTCCGTTTCTACCATTTCGTTGCAAAACTACCTACGTGTTTCATTACGTTACGCAGCCGCATTAAATAACAACCATCGGCAATTGTTTCCTATAAATTCTTTATAGCGCTGAATGAAAGGGAAACCATGGTAAATCGTCGCAGAATACGATCAGTTTGCGCATGATGCACACCCCTAGTTGTTTCCTTAAGAAAAGAAAAAAATCTAGCTTCTGAACAATGAAAAAAACAATCATACTGCTCTAGGAACACGCTACGTTAGTGCGTTGCCTACCCTTAAAAATATTCCAATAAAAAAATTAATAATACACCTTAAATAACTACAACTTGAAGTATATTTTATCTTAAAAGCATTGCACTGATCAAACTAATTTGATTTTATCTTGAATCACAAAGAAGACAATGATTTTCTTTACGATAAAATCCTACACAGGTTTATGCTACAGCTACTATACATATATTAAAGTATACTTGACGAAACTCGCGCACAACGTAAAATCCATATAACAGTGCTGCCGCCTAACAGCGGGTAATAGTATGATTCATCAGCTCCATTTTAGTTTGTCGAAACGGGTTAGTCGTTGTATTTAACGAGCTATAGTTCGATAGAATTACAATTTTCTCGAGAATGTTCTAAGAACTTTCGCATGGACTAATCCGTGGTAATGCAAACGTGTATACGGCAGTGAAACGTATCGTGTACAATTGTTTAAGCAATTCTGATTTTGTTCCACGGTATGTCAGAAGGCGAGGCTACAGCGTCGCAGAAGAAACAGCAGCCATTTCAGCAACAGCCACAACTTGGAGTAGGCTCAATGGCGAATATGGCATGGCAATATCCCTCGCCCAACAATATCCACAACATGTTTCCTCCATATTCAGGGTAATTTCCTTTTAATATCGATTTTACTTGAAAAACTATCGTTTTATGAATGTATAATGAGTCATATGTCACTCAAAAGAATTATATATGTAGGTGTAACTGAAAGAACGCAGTTAGGCGTAACGTTCTATGATGTCATGCAATCAGTTCTTTTTTATATTTTTGTTTAAATTAAATAAATAAACATGCCATTTTTTACGTAGACCCATTGCTTGTGTATTGGAGTAAAACTAAAGGACAAGAAATGGATAATGTGATTATGTATATGATGCGTCGAAAAAACACTTTACTATGGTCTAATTTTAGATTGGTGCACGTAATAGAAATATCTTAGAGTATTTGATAAATGAAATACATTTCAATATATAGGCATATAACATATCGGAGTACAAATATATTCTCATAATATCAGTCTGATGTTTAGAAATTCTTGATGCTATGAGTAATAACAGATATATTGAGATCTTAAGTACTTGAGTATTTATATGCATTAATAAATCTGTTCTTATCCTTTTACAGGCAGTTGTATGGACCAGGATATCAGGGTGTACCTCATCAAGGACAAACATTTAGCTACTATCATTCAATGATGCCTGGATATGGACAACCTTTTACTCCACAGCAGATGCAACAACAACAGCAGCAGCAACATCAACAACAACAACAGCAACAGCAGGGTAACAATCAGGGAAAGCAGCTGCATCAGCAACCACCAGTTCCTGGGACCCCAATGTCTTTGGATGATGACTCTGAACTTCCTCCCTTGCCCCCTGGACCACCACCATCTGTGCAGACATCTCAGCAACATAACAATCAAGTACAACCATCCATACAGCCTCATCTAGGGTATATGTACAACACATTTCCTTATGGTATTTGGAATGGAATGCACAGTGATATGACTCGTAAGTTCTATTCTTGCAGAATACATTAAAGCAACACATTTTTCTCCAATATACATAATAATATTTACATTTTCTCTGTTTCAGAATACAATAATCAAATCCGTTTTAATGTACAAAACAAAAAGAATGGTTTGCCATTCTCTCCATCTGGTAATAGTGGAGCTGCAAAGAAAAAACGTAAGCGGAATAAAAATTTAGCAGCTCAGTTCAACAATAGCTTTCAGGCAAACAGTACGACGACGAATTTCGTGCCGGGACCCAATCTGAAGACCGAGTTACCACCTTTACCTCCTGCACAGCGTGAAGTTGCAGCTCCTCCTCCACCAACTGAAGAATCCCCCGCTCCTATTACACCTGCTATTACGACCGTTAATAATACAACTCCTAGTGCTGGTACACCAGCGGTAGGTACTCCCTCTATCGTGACTACTCCCAGCCCGGTCGGTGATTGGCCTGATAGCCTGAAGAACTACGTGAACAGATGCTACGAAAAGTGTAAAACGGCGGTTGACAAAGACCAAGTCGAGATCATATTAAAGGGAAAAATCACACGCGCAGCGAACGACGGTTCGCTTTGGGTGAAAGACTGGGACCAAGAACCTTTGCCTAGCATTCACAGTGAACGTATGACTATGACGATAAAACCTCAAAAACCGGCCTTGAAATTAAATAGCTTGCCAAATCCGCTGATGAATACACAGGGAGGCTTGCGCAAGCCAGGTCTTTCCACTTCTCTCGGGGCTCGGCTTGGCGCGCGTCTCTCTGTGAATCACAAACGGTCAAGGTCAAGATCAAGGTCGAGGACTAGATCGAGATCAAGATCGAAGTCGAGATCGAGGTCGAGGTCGAGATCGAAGTCGAGGTCGCGTTCGAATACACGTAGTCCGCCGTCCCGGAAGTATAGGCGTAGCACTTCGTCGTCGTCGAATGTTAGTGATCGGGAACACGATTATAAGTCGTTAAAAACGAAAAAGTCAGCTAAAAACAAACAGAGTCACAACAGCAAGAAAACAAAGAAGACTAAACAGATGAAATCACATTTCTATTCAGAGTTTGGTTTATCTGCAGGCAACACTGATGAATTAGGATCCAAGGAGAAATTACAACAACGTGCTGCAAGATTTAATGATACTATTTCCAGGACAGTCAGCAATGGTGTTAAAGACGATCCCACTGCAGACTTTGATTTTACCGGACTTCACATTGTCGGCATATGCAAGGACATTGAGAAGCCATATTTGCGATTAACATCCGTAAGATCTTGTTTCGATTATTCATTTTGGTTGTACATATATAACCTATAAGGAAGTACTTATCACTTATACATGTTACAGGCTCCAGCTCCCTCCGCTGTGCGACCGGTAAGTGTACTCCAAAATTCTTTGGCACATGTCAAGAAACGCTGGGTGGCTGATCAAGACTATAGATATGCTTGTGATCAACTTAAATCTATTCGTCAAGATCTTACCGTCCAAGGCATTCGAGATGCATTTACAGTCCACGTGTATGAAACACACGCCCGCGTCGCTTTAGAAAAAGGCGATCACGAAGAATTCAACCAGTGTCAGACACAATTGCGGATGTTATATCAAGACGTCGGTGGAGAAAACCGATGTGAATTTATCGCATATAGGATATTATATTATATATTTACGAAGAATACACAAGGTGCTTAATCAATCGAATATAAATGCAACTTGATGTTGAAATACGACGGGACAATAAAAAAATGAATTGTTTCTTTTTGTTGTAGACTTAACAACAATTTTAGCAGCTTTGTTGGAAGAGGACAAAACTGATGAGTGCATAAAACATGCGCTAAAAGTGCGTTCTGCTTGGTGGCTGGGTAATTTCCATGCTTTTTTCAAGCTATACACTTCTGCGCCAAGGATGGCGGCCTTCCTGATGGACTGGTTTGTTGCGAGAGAACGCAAGAATGCATTGAAGACCATGATAAAGTCGTACGTACTAGATTCTTTAGAAGTAATCATTTGTTTAATCTTGTTAAAACATCTCCAAACAATATTTAACATTTTACAAAAATTAATAACGCTAATAATATATAAAAATATAGATGAAAACATAATTTACTATTAACAGGTACATTTAATTAGATAGTTTTTAATTTCAAAATAATTTCATTTATCAATATAATTTTAATATTTTCATGTTTAAATAACTTTCAAATATACTTCCATAAATATGATGGAAATATATTTAATCCCCTTTTTTTTTATATAATTTTTTATAGATGAAAATGTATACAAAGCAACAAGAGCTTTGTTGTTACTTTTTCCTAAAAAGTGGAACATTGTTACAGAGATATACAATGGAAGTGGAAATTTGTAAATAATTTTTTTAACAATTATAATTATACATAGATTTCTGTTACAGGACAACGTAGCCGAAAAAATGACTAGTTTTATAGTTATCATTTATTTTTTATCGTACTATACTATATATATATTTTTTGTTTTTAACGTACACATGTTTAATGCGCGATTGTCTAACGATACATTTCTTCTACTGTTTAGCTACCGGCAAAATTTGGCGGTTGATTTCGTCGTAGCAGAATTGGCCTTTGAATCTTTGGACAAGTTTTATGAATTTGTCAATGAATTGGGGTTGGTTTATGCTGATCCTGAACAACACCTAATCGACTGCAAGACAAGCAGTGGTTCTCTAGGTGCTTGGTAAAAAGCAACATCACTCTTTTTTCGTGGAAGACATATAAAAAAAACGAAAACCATTGTCGTGCACATTCGTAGGCACAAATCGGTGTGTGTATATGCATATGTTTCCCAGTAATATGCATATGTAGCCTATACATTACATATGCATATGCATGTGCATATATCTTACTACACATTGACCTGTATTACCGATAATTCTTACCATCCCCTAATCATTGTTCTCTTCGTTGATCGACGATCACTCAGTCGAACAACAATTTGTAAATGAAAGTTTTCCCCATCATATAATTTGTACATACGTGTCTCGATGTCGGCCCACCGCAAACCGAAGAATCCAATTTACGGGCTGATAAGAATTGTACAAAACGAATAGGACGGTCATTTTTTCAAGTCGTCCGCAACTACCTCAATAGAGACTCGGTATGAAGCCGAGGCTTGTAGTGAATTACGAAGGGAAAAAGGAAACGATGTCTTCAGGCCACAAAAAATCTCGTTTGGTCAAACCTCGAATTCCTCAATCGCAGCAGATTCTCTACATTCGTTAATATTATATTACGTGTTTTTACTCTCGTGTCTGGTGATTCTGCTCGTCGTTTTTCTAAAACACATTGTCCACCAAAGGAATTGGAATTTTTTAACCATTTGCCAAAATCTTTCGCTCTACAAGGATCCAATTTATTGCTTGCTACTTCAAAGGGAAATTTCGACATTTTGATTACCATGGATTTGCAACGTATACACGCGTGAATGGATTGATTGTACGGTGATTGCTCCCACGATAGAAAAGAAAATGGTAAAGGATTGAAATTGAGGAACATGTTGAATATACGTTATCGCTACAAAGGGATTTTCGGTAAGGAATAAGGAAGTATTGAGGGTTATCGAAGGAAATTGGCATAATCAACGGTTCGTCAATGAAGATGGAAGAAAAGAGACGAAGGCAGGTTACGGTTTCGTGTAATGGCGCCACGAAGCATCGGTTTGAAGGAAGTATTCGGCGTGACGTGTTCAAGAATCAACAATCAGAACTCTTCTAATCGGGACATCACACGTATATTGGTATCAAATGCTATTCGCGGGTGAAGAGTGATTATTTTTATCTTTTTAAGTGTTTACCGCAGGACAATGTTTTTTTTTTTTTGTTCTTAATAGTCCGTCATCGATTCTATCGGGCGTCGAGAATTCTGTTTCCACGTTATGAGAAACACAGGGGTACAAGGTTATGAATTCGGAGAGAAGAAAAAGACATTTTTCATTGTACGATCACATTCGAATATGGTGTTGTGCGTAATAAATTATTTAATTTTCGGATATTATACTAATTTCTTAATCTATATTATGCTAGAAACCTAATGAATTTACAGAGAATTCAGAGCATGATTGTTTTTTATTACTAATAAAACAACATTTTCCTGTGTATTTCTTGTTTGAACTACCGAACAATGGATTATCGCTAAAACCTAAAGCATAAAGTATAGATGCTTGCAACTTAAGTTAGAATTTTATATTTTTTTTTCTTTTTTCCTAAATATCAATAAAAATTACAACGATACTGATGCGGCTGTCAGTATGTAAATTTATTTCCAATCATAAATGAAAACATTCAGTATTATTTCCATTTGGAAAATAACTTAATAGGTAACTCAAAAAAAAAAAAAGTCTTTCTTATAACATCTTGCATAACTAAGTCTCTACACAGAGAAAAGAAACTGTCTGCTATGTGTTATTGTACAATTTATACCTACTGCATTAACGTAACGTTTGTGTTTTGAGAAGAAACTTGTGTATAAAAGTTGCTTTGATAACACGAAAAAAATAAGACTTCTATTATGCCATAAAAGATTACAAATGCCCAGAAAAAATTACATAAACATGGAAGTAACAGTTTCAGTGAAGAAAAAGATGTATTTCTATGTAAAGATTTGTTGCAATTGAAGTATTTGTTACACTTTAAATATGGAAACTATATCAAGCATATGTTTATCGGTTAACTTCATGACGATTAGAACACCTTTCCTTTTTATTGACTTAACAATGTCCGTCTACAATATAATAAATTTTTACGATCAGTTCATGCAACTGTTTAATACAAAGAGATTCTTTTTAAAGTTAATCGGTTCTTGTGCACAAATTGCCGATAAAATTGTGCGATTTTACATCAGAAAGTTTTAGTACTTTAATTCACCATTACACAAATGCCCAAATTAAATGTTCTTTATATTTCTCAAACCCTACACACGTACGTGTATAAATTAATCGTTACGTCATAAAATGCAATATAATAATTATAGTTATTTCAAGCATTGTTACAAAACTAACAAATTCGTTTAAAATCGAACGAAATAAATAATAACAATTAAATGTTTCCGTAACGAAGATTTGGTAACGGAATAAAATATTTTTTATTAATTCCATCAAACATAGAAAAAGATTTGCAAAGTGAAACACGCATTTGCAGAATTTTTTCAAGTACTCAGATTTCGAATATCCTCAGGAAAATTTGTTCGTGTAAAAGTGGCTAAGATTTCGATCTCAATGTCACCGTTAGTTGCGAGTTGGAAAG